TGCAATTAAAGTTAGAAAGTGTTTGGTGCTGTTTGGGCCTCTGACATGAGTATCCCAAGTCATTTGACTAATTTATGTGTCTTATAGAGAATCATTGATAAATATTTTCTATGACTTACTGAGAAATTGTGTTTCAATACCAATCAGAGAATTAGACGTAATGTGCCAAAGCCACTAAAATTAAATAAGTTGCACCATATCTACTGATTTAAAAAAAAAAAAAAAAAAAAAAAAAGTAGCAGACACAGACTGAATTTCTCAGTTGTTCAAGTATCCAAACACTATAGAGGCACATGGTTAAAGGATGCCATTTTTCTCATAGTTCAATTTGCCTACCTTGAGGTTTTGTTCACCCCCATCAACAGCAATTTTGTCAGGTTCGAGGGTTTCATATTCCTTGACATCAACCCAAGCAACTGTTCCAAAACCTCCAATGAAGTATATGTCACTGTCAGTGAGATATACACAAGTCAGTTCGTTGGATACACAAAGGTTCTCCTGAGGGCATTTTCTATTATCAGAAAGGCATACATATGAAATGTGCACAAAAAAGGTACCCTTGATAATAGTAATAATAATAAAAAGGAGAGAGATATAGAGTTATAAGAATGAATATCTACCAACTCACAACTTAGCAAACAAATGAAATTAAAACTCTAAGCAGATTTACTTTTTAAGATAGAGCAGTGAGACTAGGGAACCCTAAGGCATGATCAACTTGCTAATGTCTAATGTAGAATGCAGATATGAAAAATGCTAACCTTTTTCCCTTTTATGGAATAATAATAATAACAATTAATATAATAATAATAATAATAATAATAATAATAATAATAATATAATAATAATAATAATATAAGGAAAAAAAATAAAAATAAAAAAAGATAACCTTATTTTTTGCATCCTGAAGTAATAAAAATTTCCCCACTGTTGTGAAGGACCTTGGTGATGCTTTGCTATGTACTGTTTATGAGCCCAATCCTGGAAACAGAGAAACAAGACAGTTATTAGGTTATACACACTCAATTGAGATAATTATTGTCAGAAGTGAACACAATCAGAGAGAACATTACAATATAATGGCAGGAAATAACAATAATAGGCTGCTCCACATATGACATATATAAAATGGCAAAACCATATATGAACCTCATATTATAGACTGAAGAATGCAACCACCTGTTGGTCTTCTGGGAGAGGATAAACATCACCAAATATGGTTACCCTTGCATTTGATAAGCCACTCCATCCAGGAATCTAGAATGCCAAAAGGTTCAAGTAACTCAACAATTGAACAATATAACTCACACACATAATTTTTTGTAATCAACCTCACTAACCTGCACAACCATCGAACATCTTGGGTCAGCTAACAAATTCCTAGTGTGAATAGCTAATGGCGAGAATGAAAATATTGGATCTGTAGAGAAGAAACCAAAGAACTAGGTCAAAACATTGCAGCAAATTGGAACATATTTTTACACCTACATGCCAAATTTTCGTTTATAGGTTCTCCAACTCAGATAGATGTTTAACGAACAATCAGATTGGATGAAAAAGCTGTATATGGAGTATCAAAACAATAGAGTTTAAAAACTTACGCCCCATGGCATCTGGTGCAAAATCTACAAGGGAACCAAATGGATAACCCCCTCGGCGATGATGCATCTGGGACATCACAGTGCATAGATGGGCAAACCTAGCCTGCAACCATTGCAAAAGAAGAAGAATAACGGGTTAGAACGATTATCTGTTATGGAATAAGCATTGCAATTCAAATATCACCTAACAAGAACTTTACCTGCTCCATTAGATTGCGAACTGCTAATGCAGGTTTTGGTAAACCATGGGCTGAAGTGGCGCTTTGCACGCCCCCTGATATCGGTGTCCTGAAGAGCCCAGCCCTTGTACCTCCCCCTACCGTGCTTCCATGTGATACTTCAAGGGGCGTAACCATTTTCGATATTCTGTATTTGTAAGTTTCTGTTTTCCCATCAGAATCACCCTTCAGAACATGAGAGATCCATCAAAACAAGACTTAAGTAGCCAGCCATTTGGCATTTCAACAAACAGATTATATCACGGAAACCCGCAAGCGGTTTCAAACAAATACAAACACGCACATACGAATACAGATAATTCCGACAAAGACAAATAAAAATCAAGGTGAATTGATGCGTGGAATGCCGGTACCTGAGACCAGGAAACAGCTCCTTCAGAAGCCAAACCAAATCCATTTTCGTCATTGAGCCGACGATTTTGCTCTTCCTCGTTGGCGTCTCCACCAGACGATTCTTCGCGTGGAAGCGCCGCAATTCGAGAGCCGCCGACGGAAGAGGAGATACCATGTGCCACGCTTAAACTGGATTTCAGATTCCCCCAGCTGCCGAGCCAGTCAGCAGTCATTTTGACAGATTGAACAGCACAAGGCCTTTCTGAAAACCTCGGAATGAAACCGGAGCTCGATATTGCTTCCATGGAGGATGAAAGAGACTGTGAAGTCGCCATAAGAACAAAAATCTACTCTCTTCTACGGTTAACGTATATGAAGTAGTGTGTTTGTGAGCAAAATCGGACAATTGGGGCTTTGTCTCCTGTGCTTGATTGGGCTATGCCCCGCTTTGAAGTAGTGGTACGTTCTTCATTTGGGCTTTTGCATATCTTTGAGCCCATGAGAATTAACCCAATAATCCAAGATGCAACAGTTATGCCATGGACCCGGTGGACTCAGATTCAAAATACACAATTTACATATTGAATGTTCACAATTTGAATTGTGAACGTTTAACATGTAAATTGTGAACATTTAGTATATAAAATTGTGAACATTTAGTATGTAAATTGTGTACCAGGACTATGTGGTCCAATGGTATCTGTGTTGAACTTCTATTTGGAAAGTTATGAGTTCGAGCCTTAGTGGAGGCGTTGTTGAGAAAGTATATGAACAAATACTACAATGTAATAGAGCTAGTAGCATTCAAAAAAAAAAAAAAGTATGTAAATTGTGTACTTTTGGACGCGGGTCTACTTTTAGACCCGGGTTCACAAAATAATTCGCCACCAAGATGCGAACTTGACCGGGCTCCGATAACATGACATGCCAAACAATATTTGGTAAAGGTTATTGTGGCAAATTATTCTATGGACCCAGGTTCAAAGATACACAATTTACATGTTAAATGTTCACAATTTACCTTTTAAAAATTCACAATTTGTGACAACCATGTATTGTGTTAACAAATTTCAAAAATTAAAAACACAATTTATATTCTAAAAGTTTACAATTTATGATTAGTATCTACCTTGTAAGATAGAACTTGGTCCATGGTATAACAACTGGGTTATTGTAGAAATATCAATAGACATCTCATTAACGATCATAATGTCCAAATATGCATAGTGGCAACTGGCAAGCACTTCAATTGTGAACTAACCAAATTGATGGCAAGTTATAATATATTAGTTGCATTAGAAGGGAATGAGGGTTATACCATGACCAAGGTGCATATTACAAATTAAAAAATTATGTGTCTGTAATCAACAATAATGTACCTACAATTAATAGTTTTTGTATTTGTAAACAAATAGAAGACACGTAACATGATAATTACAGTTACATAACATGTAAACAAATAGAAGGCATGTCTGTAATTACCTTGTTATGTGCATTACAGGTATAGAAACAGTTAACTACATGTACATAATATGTCAATTACAGACACATAATCTGAATCTTATTTTTGGATCAGAGTCCACAATGTAATGTAGACTACGGTCCTTAGTATAATTTACCTTGGAACCCCGACCAAGTCCAACTAATCGGACACTCAAATGAGATTTACCAACAACAATCCCATCCATCATAAAAAATAACAGTGGTGTTCCTATAATAGAGCACAATTCAATAGTCATAAACTAATATAAGTTCATAAGTTTTGATTTGTTAAAAATCACAAATGTAAAGTCTAAATCTTAATGACTAGTTGATATACATATTGCTTGTGATTTATCTTATTGTAAGTGATTTTTTTTTAAAATTAAATAACTTTCTTATTGTATATTTGCATTTACCTCTCCCATTATTACCACTAAATATAGTAAGTGCTCTGCGCAATTATGTTGTGATCTCATGCGTTTTCAGCCCAACAAGTACCCCGTAACTCTTTGATTGAAAAAACACTTGTCACATTCGACTAAGTCAAAATCACCATAATGGGATAGTCGGATAGAGATAGGATAAAGATAGCAATATATAAAATTTCACCTCACATCATATATATATATATATATATATATATATTAAGTCACACTTAAAAGTGGAATTGAGATGTCTGGGTTTATAGGAGATGCATGACCCAACTTTTTATTTATTTATTATTTTTTAATCATGATGCACCTATACAATAGTATTTTATATAATTGTATTAATTATCTGGTTATTAACTGTTTCGTGAGTAGGGTAATAGTGGTTGAGAGTTTGAACCTCTCTCGTATGAAAGAGAGTTTGAACTTCTCTCGTATGAAAAAATCAATATAACCAGCATTTTGCTCCTTAATTGGGTCAGTAATTCGCCTCTTAATTGGGCCGGACCGTTGTGAATGATGATTAGTCTCATGGTACGGGTTTAACGATGGATCCCCTTAATTGGGCTGTGCGAATGATGATTAGTTGCTCAGGAAACTTCATGTTTTGACAAAAAAAGAGTTGGTGATAGTGTTTTTGGGACAAAAAAGGACGCATATGTATGAGAAACATGATTTAAAGAGTCGGTGATAGTGTTTTTTGGGACAAAAGATGATGCATAGATATGAGAAACATGATTTTTTCTTCCTGAAGTGACAACAAAGATAGACTATTTTCATCACGTAGGTCCTAAAAAAAATGTTTACATCAAGAATTTGAAAGTGATAGTAGAATTTAGGAGTAGAAATTGAAAGTCTAAACAATAATTTCCTTTTAATTTACCAGCTGCAAGCTAGCTAGGTTACAACATTTAAAATGAAGCCCGGAAAACAGCAACTAACGTTGTAGTAGCTTTTCTAGTACGGTACAATTGTACAAAGACAAGACAACATCATCGCTAGCTTCAATAGTTGGAACCATCCCAAAATGCATACCAGCATGCATACTAGCTCGATCGAACAGTAGAAACTGTAAAGGGAAAACCCAATATAATTTCCCCATCTAAGAATTCTCTAAACCTAGCTAGCTACGGTCAGTTTAGAAGATGGAAAAGAAGGAGATATAGAGAGAGAGAGAGAGATGGTTATTTCCGACATATCGGAGAGAATCAGCGAATCTTTGTCTAGAAGATGAATCAAAATCAAAGCCGGCTTCATTCATTAGCTAGCTAAGCTACTTAGTCGGCGAGCTTCGATGCAATCGAATCAAACCGAGCACTCACCCCAGCCTTCCGTCAGCCACTGGCGCCGTTGCTTTCCGGCTTTCTCCACCACATGAAGCTTCGACTCCGCGCTGGCAATGAGTTTAGCCGGCACGCCGGAGATCTGCTCCAGCCTCCTCAGAGCTCGCCACGTGTGGCCGGGTTTTCCGGGGCACCTCCTCAAGCCGAACCATAGAGACGCGGCTAGGGAGACCCGGTAGGGCAGAGCCGTCATGTGAGCCAAACAAAGCCGGAACGCGCCGCGAGCTTTCCGCGTCACGTGTTTATCCTCCCCACCTCCGATTCCCAGCCGCGCGCACCAGTTGACGAAAATGCCCTCCGCCACGGGATCAAACGCCTCCGATCTCGCCCCCCTCGGCGGAGGCGGTCTCTTCTGACTTTTCTTCTCCGCCGCCGCGGCGGAAAACCCCCCGGCGGAGTCCGACCACTCCGACGACCTCCCGCTCTTCCGGCTACACGAACTATGCGCACTGGAAACACAAGTCGAGGAGGAGGAAAGCGCATCGAGATCCTCCCCCTCCTCATCCACCGGCGACGGCGAGCAGGAACGACACAGATCGGAAAACGGACCCTCCCGGACACCGGAGACCCGATTCCCAGTCACAGATTTACACCCCCCGCAAACAGTGAAACGAAGATGGCGAGCAACGAGAAAGTTAGCCTGGTGAACCTTAGCGTCACAGCTCCAACACAGAAACGCGGAATCGGACGGGCAACAAACGGCGGCCTCCCCTTTGCAAAGCTCACAACAAAAATCTCCTCCGCCACCGGCCCCCATTGCCACCTGGTGGTTCATATATATATGTATATAATATATAACAATACGTACGTACACTTCCGACCTGTATATATGTATATGTGTATGTATATATGTATGTATACACTACGCACGCCGCAGGCCGGGAGACGCGTATACACTACACGGCCGCACCTATAAATAAACAGTGAACAAAGACGCAAAACTAGCGGCGATGTGTTTGTGTGGATTGGAAAGAGGGAAGCGGGGGAGAGAGAGAGAGAGAAGAGAGAGAGGAATCTAAAGGTTGAAATGCTGAAGGGAGAGTGTGTGGATACGAAAGGTGGAGAAAATAGAGGGAAGCCAGAGGTGAGAGTGTGGTGTGTATCCACGAAAGCTAGCTAGGCGGAGGAGGGGAGAGATGCGTGGAGAGAGAGAAGCGTGGAGGCGGGCGAGATATGCGGTGGGAGAAGTAAACATTAATATATGGGGAAATTTTCTTGTGTAGTGTGGGATGCTATGTGGAAGGAACATCACAATTCACAAAAGGTGGTGGTGGTGGTGGGGGGTGGGGGTGTGGTGTGGGTTACAAGTTAGAAGAGTACTACTTATTTGTGTGTTCCAAAATAATGCCATCAAATCTCTACAATTTCTTTTTTTAATACCAAATTCATGGCTTCAATTCATTCCCTCCCTCTCTCCCCCATCATTGTCCACAAAAACCTTGTTCCCCTTCAACTCCTACAACTCTACAATCAAATACCCATTCCTAAAACCTCTAATTATAATTAATTATTAATATTAAAAAAAATGACACATTTGCCTAAGAATATACATAAGTATATTTTGTAGGAAACATTATAAACTTTCATCAACCAAGCAATATCCGTATAAATGAATAGTTTATGATCAGATTTTCACAATCAGTCAACTAGAATCACACAACAAAACTAATCTTATTCATTACATGTAAGACTTCAAAGGCAGCAAAACACTTGACCATAAAGATCACATTAAATATTCTATCTACTTATGTATAGTGTTCATTCGAAATGACTTATAGTAGTTTAGCTTACTTCTCGTCTATTTTTATGAGTTTAATTATGGTATTAAAGTAAAGACGACTATTGGTACAGTTTTTTATTTTATTTTTTGTGACTAGAGAAACTCGCAATCACTATTTGCAGGCGGGTGTACATTGGGTAATCATACTTTTGTGTAATAATTCACAAACCACATTAGATATGAAGTCACACTATGAATACCTACTTTTGCAACAGGCTTAACTGAGAGAATGTTGACATGAATCGTAACCTTACAGGTTTGCTCTTAGTCCACTTGCCAGAGAAATTCCGGTCCACTAACCTAGTGGCCAATCATACCATTGTTCTAGAGGTTCTCCAAATTACGTGCAACAAATTGATACAAGGCGTGTCAAACAAACACCACCCCCATCTGTCGCTCAACATCATTTTCCTTTCTAAAGCTAAGGTGTATGTATAATATAATATGAATGAGGTGATAAGAGTACTCAATAATTGACGAATGTATGTCAGAGGTGCAAGCAAGCTAGCTAGCAATCCTTAATTAAGGTTGTTTCCTAGTCGTTGACGGCTATATATCTGTGAATGTGGCCAATGTTTTGTGATTAGATGTCACATTATCGTGGGAGTACGTACTGTCACGGCTTTTGTGCCACGATTTGGCGGTTCCTTTTTTTTTTTTTTTTTTTTTTTTTTTTTTGTGGTTTAAATTGGATTCAAAAGCTGGAGGATTCATGCATGGGACTGCTTTTACGTGGCCATCTTATGTATGTTTTGTTTGGATGACCAACACTTAATACACTTGTAATCAAATTGATCGAAGATATATTAGCGTTTTGGCTAAATTACATACACAAGTTTGTTTACTTTTTAAAGACTCATAGTCTAAACGTACAGAAGATGTCATTTAATATGGTACGTCTATATCGTAGTGACTCCTTTATATATAAAACGGGAATCTCTAGTGCTTTATGTCTTCCACCCTGCTGACCTTTTGTAATTACAACAATGGCGGCACTACACAAGTAGTTTAGGCATTATTTCTGTTGTTTACAACAAACTCATAAAGTGATCGATGATCAATATTTTTGGGTTCAATTTGTACTAGTGTAAATAATCACTTTATAACTAATGACTTATCTTGAATTAAATATCTATAAATTGTACTGGATAAACTATCGAGGAGAGAATATTAAAGACCTTCTGTCCAAATTGTGTTAAATTGAAACCAACAAAGATGTCATTCAATCTACAATGTTGGCCGGCCTCCCGACCTAGCTATAAATATGATCGTTTGAGCACAAACAATCTCTCTTATAAGACAATCCCAATTTAATCATATCCACCAAACAAAAATAAAAATCTCGAAATCTAGTGCTTCTTATCGCAACTTCCATCATGTATGTCCCTTTTAATTGTTTAATTACTAAGGAATATCATTAGCTAATGATATACGAAGTATCTCACAAGATGATGAACCCGGTCTAAATTGGGTTAAATTAAAAATCATCAAAGATGTCATCTAATCTACAATATTGACCTCCTTAATTATAAATGTGTTCGCTTAAGCACAATCAATCTCTCTTAATAAACTATCTTAATTCAATCATCTCTATTAAACGAAAATAAATATCTCTAGATCTAGTGTTTCCTATCATGCCCTTTGTAAAATTACTAAAGATTCACTCTCTAGCTAGCTATGTAAATTAAATTTCTTAGTCACTCTCTCAATATAATCTCGATCAATCTTAAAATATAACTAAAATTTTACAACAATTTATATATTACTTTATCTTATTTGGGTGCAAATGAAACATAAGCCACATATACTATGTTACAAGCTCCACGTGTTGTGAATTGGTAAAAGCTTTAGGTGGACTATGATAGATATTTTTTTGACTAATTTCACTCAATTCCAACCACAATTGAACTTATAAATTCCAAGGGCATCATTGTCAAAATCTTTGAATTTTTTAAGGCAAAATAATAGAAAATAATATTTGTGTGGTTGGACATGAAAATATCTTCTCATTCTTATTACTGATGTTCTACCAACCCATGAGTGATGTGGACGACGTGGCTCAGAATGAAAACAACCAACCAGATCAGATGGACCAAGAATTTAGTTTAGTAGCAGCTGTCACCTCGGATTTTGATTTTTGAATTTTGATATTCAATTCCTAACTTATGTTGCCTACTTTAATTAGTACTTATGTCTCATATCATGCATTAATTTTGAATTTTGAATTTGTGTTGTATGTAAAATTATGTGTAGTGTCACTATCATTTTAAAATTTTAGTTGAGATTCTTATAAGAGGTGATCAAGTTGGTGGAACATTATTATTTGCGTGCCATAAAGTTAAGAATTATATTATTGTCAACATTCTATAGATCGAGTTCGTTGCACCGGGTATTTATTGTGAGGTTTAAATCTACTGTATAATTTGTGAGCTATTACATATGAGTGAGGTTAATTAACATGTGCACACTTTCAGATATAAAAAAAAAAAAAAAAAATTAGTTGAGATCAAACATTGATAGATTTTCTTTATTAAAAAAAACATTTTTCGCTTTTTTAATTACAAAAAAATAAAATAAAATTCAGTCCCTCAATTATATTGTCACTACTTTACGTATATCAATTGCTTGCAAATTGGATGCTTTTTGTCTTTTAATTGTCTGCGAAATGGTTGAGATTAAAAAAGTTTGTGATAATATAATTGAATGACGGAAAGTGTTATTTCGTATATTTTAGGGATGCAGTGTATATTTTTTCTTTAAAAAAAATATTTGGCATTAGAACATTAAAAATATATATTTATTCAAGTATGCATGTAGCACGAGCAACTCAATTGGTAGATTGAGGGCTATGACTCAAGATCGGGCCTTAACAATAAGAAAGTTTCACCTAATGTGGTGGACTTCTTGTGAACACCTAACAGTGATGTTCTCACCTAAGATACTATTGAGTTATCGAGATTTAGTCCTCTACAATATGATCTTGTGGGCGAGGGATAAAATTGCTCATTTCCAAACTTAATGACGCTCTCTATTTTGTTCTTTCTTGAATATCGATAGAAAAGAAAAAAGTAAATTAAGGTAGTGTATCTCAAAATCTCAAATGACCTACAAACCTCATGAGAGTTTATAATATATATATATATATATATATATATATATATATATATTATTACTTCATTGATGTGGGATTTGGGAATACACTATATATATCAAAGATATTCCCTGACAATGCATTGTTCTTTGGTGAGGAGACATTAATATAGAAAGTATCAGCAATAGTTAACATGACAACCACATTATCAAAGGGCCAATTAATAAAAATAATTGTAGAATTAATCACCACCATACACGGAATGTTCTAGAAACCAGATAATTAGTCTAATGTACTACTAAAAAAATATTTTTTTTTTGAGAAAATGTTCAAATAGGTCCCTAAACTTTACCCTAAAGGTCAATTAGGCCCCTAAACTTTAAAAAAATCAATTAAACACTCAAACATATCAAATTGGGTCAATAAAGCCCAAAAATCGGTAAATGACCTGTTATTACAGGTCATTTTTATTCCGGCGACGGATTCCGGCCACCGGCGACGAATTCCGGCCACCGGTTCCTTTTTCCGACCGTCCGGTGGCCGAAATTCGTCATCGGTGGCCGGAATAAAAATGACCTGTAATAACAGGTCATTTACCGATTTTTGGGCTTCATTGACCCAATTTAACATGTTTGAGTGTTTAATTGAACTTTTTTAAAGTTGAGGGGCCTAATTGACCTTTAGGGTAAAATTTAGGGGCCTATTTGACCTTTTTCTCTTCTTTTTTTTTTTTTAAATATACAAAATATTGTATGTACACTACTAAAAAAACATTATATATATATATATATATATATATATATATTATTTTTTTCTTAATGTTTTGTGATATGTGTTGTACTTAGTGAATTTATAATTTTTTTTTTGTTTATTTATATTGTTGAAAAAGTTGGTATATCTTTTCAATAATGTTTGTGAATATATTTAAATTGTATTTTTTTTTTAAAGGAAAGCAAAACTGGATTAATTCATTAAAGTTGAGATAAATCCAGAACAATGGGTTAACCTGTGAACAGGCTTCGGAAACTAAAGTGTGAACTAAAAAATTAGAGGATCTAGGAAATAATTATTACAAAATTAGACAACCAATGAATGAAAGTAAGATGTTCTTGCAATCATTACTAGTTATTCCAACATACGACCGGATATCAGCTGCTTGCGATGTCAAAGTTCGATGAAGAGCTAAGCAATCAGTATGCAGTATAACCGAGGTCACCCCACAATCTTTCAGTCATGACAAAGCCTCCTTACATGCTAGTGTCTCCGCCATTAGTGGGCACGTACAGTGGTAGAACTTCATTAATAGCTACAATGAAACCTCCCTGCCGGCGAGAGCAAAATGGCGCCAAAGGTAATATTTAAATTGTACTTGGTGAAGTTATAAACTTTTTTTTGTGGGTGACAGTGAAATTCATATACATTATATGAGTGTGTGCACTAGGTAATCAGTTTTCTTGTTTGATAGTCCACAAACGACATATGAGAAATAAATCACACTACGAAAATCTTGTGTGACAGGTTCAACACTTCAACTGGAAGAATATTTAGAAAAATTAAATTCGTAAAATTATAGTACGAGAATCATGTTTCACTTACTTAGTCATTCAATAAGTTATAAGCTTTTGCAATTTATATTGTTGACAAGCTGTTGTAAGGAGGCATCAGCACATTCTAGTTTAAAGGTTTTGAACTTGTAATGAATTTTGAATGCAGAACAGGCATTTATTTCATTTTATTGCGTGCTATGAAATGGGATTTAAATTCGAAGATAATAATATTAAAAATCTAATATGAAATTTGGTTCTATATATAGTACTTTTGTTGAAAATATAAAATAAAGACTATTATTGTTTTAAATTCTTATATTTATTAATTTATATGAAGGGGTGCGTTTAGTCAATCTCCCAAATCCCAATAAAGTTTGTGCCACAAACGAAGTGAGTGAGTGATAATGCGATTGGTTACCTTTAACAAAATGTGATGATATTTATGAAATTCGGATTTATTTGAAAATGTTTGATAGTGTATTTGTAGATAATTAATAGTGTATGTAAGTATTGATTTAAAGTGCATTGTCAGTTATTTATGTATACAATATCAAGACGTTTTCAAATGTATAGTCACAATTACAAAAATATCACCATATTTTTCTTTAATATTTCATTATTGATCAACCTATATGGATTGATAAGTTTAATGTGCACTCTTTAGTCTTTACACACAAATTAATGTGTTTTTTTAATATAAAAGATAGAGAATTTTGTGGGCAAAATAGATAACTTTTATCTTAGTAGTAAGAGGCTAAGAGCATCTCCATAAGTGTTTTTGGGAGGTTTTTGAGGCTTGAATTCTATGTGGAAGTGAGATGAGGAGAGAAAGTATGAGAGAGATCCTTGTAAGATGTGTGATTTTTGGACTGAACATGTGGGGCTTGTGTGGAAAAAATGACAGTGCTTTGAGAGTGCGTTTAGCGCAACATGTGTGCTCAGATGGCGCGTAAAAGGTTATGTTTTTAATTAGTTTTTTCCTGTGACCATTTTTTTTTTTTTTGCTCTTATTCTCTCTCATCTTTTCTTGTAATTTGACAAAATCCCTCAAAAATCATGCTTATTGGAGATGCTCTAAACATGCCTATGCATGATGATTTGTGGGGGAGTTGCATCCAATGGTAGGGGGTCGAAATGGAAATCGATGGTTGAGGAGTGACGAAAGAATAACGTGGCAAAGGGCATGTCGTCAACTAAGGTGGGGGGGGGCACATACACTATTATTAAAGTATACTAGTCGTTGAGTGAACCAATGGCAGCCAATCGCAGAGGCGTGGGATGTGGCAGCTTTGTGGCTGCGGTTGAAAATCGGCTTTAAAGTGGATCACCAAACATCCGGTGGTTGTTCATACACCAGACCAACATACGTTTCTGTGTAGCCTAAATGCCCTTTTACGTGGGACCCAACTCAACCGATTTTAACTCACGGCCTAAATCGGAATGGTCACATCCAAAATAAATTATTTACTTCCTACTATTTACTTGAAGTGTCATTATTTGTGACCCCAAAAAAATTGGATATTATTTTTTTATTTGAATTTTTAAGTAACAAAATAAAGAGATAAAATATGAAAACACCATGTGAAAACTATTTATTGTTTTTTTTTAAAAAAAAAAAAATATGTTTGTGATTCTTTAGAGGGCATGATTAGAAGGCGTGTTTCACTTAAAACATACATTCGAATAGTGATTACGGTATATGACCTTTAAATCTTTCATGTAATAAAATAAAATAAAATAAAATAAAATAAAATAAAATAAAATAAAAAGGAAACGGATCATTCAATGGATTTGATATGAATCATAAAATAATTATCAAAAATTTTACATTAATTTTAGAAAACATCACATTCTTTATAACTAAATGAAAACAACAATTAAACCAATATTTTTAGTCATTAAATTAAACAGAAATAACACATTTCGTCCATCAAATATACATATATAATAATTTTTTGTCTATTAATTATTTGTAAAGTGATTTTTTGTCCCTAAATTGTATTGAAGTTATATTTTAAAAATCACATTATACACAATTGAAGAACAAACAGTATTATGATTAAGAAACAAATAATGTTGTTTTTCTAGAATTTAATGGCGAAAAAAGTGCCATTTTCTTTTAATTATTTGTATTTCATTTATCCCCAGTATTGTTTTCCTCTTTTTTTTTTTTTTTTTTTGGAACAATGCTTTCTTCCCCTCATTCTCCTTTTCTATATTGAAATATTGGATGTCATAAAATGGTTGACCTTTCGAACTTGTTATGAAAAACTAAATTAAAAATATGTCATTTGATTGGGGTAGGTTGCATTGTTATTGTTGTTGTTGTTGTTGTTATTATTATTATGTTGTGTTAGGGCATCCACAATAGTGGATTTTGAAAGGTTATTGTGTTAGCGCATCCACAATAGTAGATTTTAGAAGGTTTTTGCAGGTTTTTAAGCATATGTGGATGAGAGAGTGTGAAGAGTCTTCCTGCAAAGTCATAGTTTTTATCAACTTGTGGGAGTTGGGACCCACCAAGGGGAAAAAAAAAAAAAAAAAAGTCCCGCCCTGATCACGTGAAGCGCAACCACATTGTCTAGCCGGATGCGTAAATATGAAGCTTATCTCTTTTTTTTTTCTTTTTTTTTTTTCAAAATTGTTTTACCTTTTTCTTTTTCTTTTTTCCTTCCCTTCCCTTCCGTCTTCTATTTCTTAGTCACGTAGGTAAAAACTCCTCAAAATATATATCTATTGAGGATGCTATTAACTAATATTTTATTAAGAATCATGTCAAACGCAATTACTTTTTGTAAAATATGATGGATGGAGTATTTATTTGAGCATGATTTCATGAATCCATGATCTATTCTATGTTGGGCCCATATTTATATTGTCCAATATGGATACAACCAAAAGTTGGGTATTTGCTAAATGGGTTTCAACATCTTTCCAACATTTTGGAGTTAAGACACAACCAAAACTATTGATGATTGTGTTATTTAATTGATACTTGCCCCGGCCCACTATTTGTGCCTTTAATTGAAAATTCAATTCTTGCCATTCTACAACAAACATCCTTAAGGATTGTACCCTATTCTCAGAAGGTTGTTATTGTTATTATTATTTTCTTAAAGACTTCTTAAAAGTTTTTATCATTTTTATCTTGAAATCTTCTTTTTAATTGTTCAACCTATCAAATTGTATATAGGGAGCAAAACAATTGTGTTGGAGATTTAAATATTGAAATCAAAATGAAAGTCATTGTTGATATTTTATATGTTAAACAAAATTTGATTGTATAATTTTATTACCCAAAATGTCATAATGAAATCTTGACTTTTAATAAGGTTAATACTCACTTTACACTAGACATCTCTCAATATTCATAGTAGGTGATAGAATAACTAGGCATGGGTCTAAAGTTAAATGGACTTGAAAAATACAAATTCAAGAGCTAATTAGACCCAATGAGTAATTGAGGCTCGAGGGTCAAAATGTGAAGAAGTTGGGGAGGTGGGTGCAAAGTGCATGAGGTATAACGTATGGGTATGTGCAAAATTAAGAAATATGATATAAAATGCAAAAAAGATAAATACATTATACGAAAGGCACTAACATTATAAAGGGGGAAAAGGCATGAGGTGAAGTGGCTAAGCACCCCACCTAGGTTGCCCGGCTGAATACTCACCCACGACACATCGTGTAGTGCGCTCACCATGATTGACTGAGCCATGGATGGTAGTTGGCTAGCTGTAGGGTGGTGTGACTTGGGACTTTGAGGTTATGAGAGGCTAGGCGTGGGCTAGAGTGGTGTGCGTGATATTCTACACATGTTTGTGGAGTGGTGTGATGGTGGTGAATCGTTGGCACTCAATATTCACTAATTTCTCGTTTATTTGAAATTTCTGCACCTATATATTGAAAAGGGGTGTCCTCATTCATACATCATTGCCTTATGACATAACTTATTGTGTTTTCTTATATATAGTCTATTTGATAAGACTAGTTAGCAAGTGTTTTGAGTTAGTTAATTGTGTCATTATTTTGGGATCTAAGTAGTTTAAAAGTTTGTTTATTTATTCACTTGTAGGTATAAAAATGTATTTTGCACTTGCATGGGTTACTCTTAAACAATTATATCACATATTAGATATTAACAGCATACAAATATTTATAATATTTTATATAATCAAACCAATCACAATTTTATAGTGGCACATCGGTATCGATCCACACCAATAAAAATGAATTATGTATTCATATTCGAAGTAAATTTTATAGAAAATACTGTGTACTTAGTGTATTTCCAACTGTTACTTCATACACAAAATTTTGATGTAGACAATTGTATTGGGATCTATCTGAAAAAATAATTTATCAAAATTTAATACATAAGAAGTAAAATTGATGGAGTAAGATAGATAACCATTAGAGTATTGCACACGAGTCACGACTACAAGGTCTTTTGCATATCCATAGAACATTCAAAAACTGAAGAGAGAGAGTGAGAATGAGAGAGAACACCGCAATTACTCATTCAGCGGCCCAGCAACCTGCCAACTAACGTCGTCTGGTAGTGGCGAGACGGGCAGGGTACGCCACCTTGACTTTGTTTTGGTCATTCGTCTTCGGTTCTTCGTCCTCCTCCCATTTCACTGCTTGTCACAACTCAGAATCGTAGGGTAACCACAGAGGGAGAGAGGGAGGGGATCGCACCCAGATCTTTCTCCTCGTTCAATTGATCCAAAATTCCCCACAATTTCCGATTCAATTTCCCACTGTTTATGCTTCTAATCCATGCCGGTAACAATAACATCAAATCACTGTTGAAAGATTAACTATTTTCCCTTGGCGAGAAGCGCAATCAAATGGCGCGGAGCAGATCGTCGTTGAGCAAATGGAGGTACATTAATCCGGCGTACTATCTGAAACGACCGAAGCGTCTGGCTTTGCTCTTTATCATTTTCGTTTGTTGCTCCTTCTTCTTTTGGGACCGGCAAACGTTAGTCCGCGAGCACGAGGTACCTTTTATCCATCACTTTTCCTTTTTTGGTTGGATTTCCTAATTTTCACTAGATTTTTATGGACAGCGAGAATGTCTCTTTTCTGGGGTTGTGCGAAGATTCTAACTTTATCAATTTTGCTGACTTAGTTAGAGTGATCTACAGTGTTATGATTCATTTTTTTTAGAATAATCTGGTTGAAAGAACGTGATCTTAGCTGCTTACATTTCTCCTGTACAGTATATATTTTAGAGCAGCTATGTCAAATTTAAGTTTTAGACTGTGCTACAGTGATGTAACTGACTAGGCTTCACATATTTCTCTGCCTATTCTCTTCTCATATGCATGCATTGTTTTGCAAAGAAAAGTTTAATTTGTTTGACATATAAGGCTCCTATTAAGTATGCATTTGGAACTTCTGAATATAAGCATTTCTAACCCTTTTCATGTTGATTATTAACTATTTAGGACTTTGATGTTTTATTTTGATTACTTGAGTTTGAGGAGTGCTAGAAGTTTATTTTTATTTTTTAATTGTGTAAGTATCTCACAAAAATTGTCCTGGACAGATGGAGATCTCTCAGTTGAATGATCAAGTGACTCAGTTACAACATTTGGTAAGGGGTTTAATTATCTATTTTTGGGATTATATATTTTGGAGGCATATTCACTAACTTTTTCTCTCTTTCATTTCATAAATACTTTTGTAACCCATCCTTGACTGGTTTAGTTAGATTATGTTCTTAAACCCCCCCCCCCCCCCCAAATCCCCACCCACCTCCTACAACACTTTTTTTTTTTTTTACTCAATTACAGAACTTTTGGATCAATGTTCATTAACATTTCAGGTGGAAGAACTAAAGAGTGGTCGAGTAGTTCCAGATGAAAAGATAAAATCAAGTATCAAAAGTGATGATGCAACTAAAAAAAGAGATGACATAGATGAACCACTTGATGCTGAGAGAAGAGAGAAAGTAAAAGACGCCATGCGCCATGCCTGGAGTTCATATGAAAAGTACGCATGGGGTCATGATGAACTTCAGGTGTGGTTTCTATTGTAACTAGTAGCTTTCATTGAGTGCAGAGTTTGGTATGGAGTTTAGTGTTGGGGTTTGTGGAAACACAATGTTTGTTTTCTCCTTCTATTTTCTTTCTGTTGTTGTTTGCTATATTCTTTTCTTACTAGCAATGATGTGGCATTTTTCCATGAACTTTTTATCAAATTCTTTTCTACTATGGTGCTGATTTTTTCTGCATCTCAGCCACAATCGAAGAATGGGGTTGACAGTTTCGGTGGCCTTGGAGCAACTTTAATAGATGCTCTTGATACACTTTATATCATGGGTATGGATGAGGAATTCCAAAAAGCTAAAGAGTGAGTTTAGCTTTTTATTGCTCTCACTATTCTTTTTTTGTGAATTGATTGTTATTTGTCTTTGTTGATGAGACATTTGCATCATTATTTTCTCTTCAGAAAAAAGAAAAAATTCCTGGATTTTCTTAATGTTCATCATTTTGGCTTTTGATGGTTCCATGTGAGGAGAAATATCTGCTATTCCTTTAGCTGTTTCAATACTGGGACTCTACATATTGAGAACATACTCTATAAAGTTACAATATAATCATTTGCTGCCATAAGCTTAAACCTTGAATTCTTGAAACAAATGTCCTTGATCTGATTATATATCCAAAGTGGTCAGATAGTTTTCTCAATATCATATCTGCCTTCTATAACTTATTTAGCTCCTGGCTTTAAGTCTTCCAATGAGAAGTAGATGGAAGGATTCCTTACATAAAGCTGTAAGGAAACTGAGTTTTTTTCTTGCTTTAAGATTTTAGTCATGTTGTGCATTTGCTTATCAAAATAGTTGTGTCGTGCTATTAGCTGACAAATTGTACATGACAGGTGGGTAGCAAGCTCCTTGGATTTCAACAAGAACTATGATGCTAGTGTTTTCGAGACAACCATAAGGTTGCTTTATAAGGTTTACTATGCCTTTTTATGAGTTGTTCACTTTCCTGATTACTCGAAGTGCTAATCCATTTCTCGGGTTTTCTCTGCTCTGTTGACATATGATCAATCTTATGCTTATTGACTTGGTATGTTTCAATAATCCAGAGTTGTTGGTGGACTTCTTAGTGCTTATGACCTCTCTGGGGATAATGTTTTCCTTGAAAAGGCTCAAGACATTGCTGACAGACTGTTGCCTGCATGGAACACTCCCACTGGAATCCCTTATAACATAATCAATTTGGCACATGGGAATCCACATAATCCTGGATGGACAGGGGTAAGTAGTAATTTGCATATTATGGTTAATATGGTCACATCTATCCTTCTATCCTATGTAGTAATATCTCTGTGAATTTATAAAATTCTGCTCCCAGGGTGAAAGTATTCTGGCAGATTCTGGTACTGAGCAGCTTGAATTTATTGCTCTTTCTCAAAGGACAGGAGACCCCAAGTATCAGCAGAAGGTATGTCCAGTTAAACTGTTAAAGTTTCCATATGCATCATCTAAGAATAATGAACAATGATTTGGATCATGACATATCTATATGAAACTACTATTTATCAAACTTCTTGTGGTACATCTTTGGTATCAATCTTCTGGGGTTGGCTAATGGATGGCCTTGGCATTTCAGGTGGAGAATGTTATTTTAGAGCTTAACAAAACCTTTCCTGATGATGGTTTGCTACCAATCTACATTAATCCACATTCTGGGGGAAAATCGTACTCTACCATTACTTTTGGGGCCATGGGGGACAGGTAATTCCCTCTCAAATAATTTTCAGTATTGGTTTTGTGAACATGAGAGATACTTTAATTTTAGGCTTCAGTGTAATCCAAGACCAATTTGTTGGAATACATAGGTCTGATCTGATAAAGCTTGTGATTATAGTTCATGATTTCTTGATTCTGAATAATCTGTAATCAACTCCAACTTACCTACGAATTGTTGGTTTAAATTAGCTAAAAGTATTGTAGAATACATAACTTATAATCTTGTGCTTGACATGTTGAAAGTGGATTATTTAATTTGTAACTTTGTTATTACCAATAATCTGATTAAAGCTTTATCAAAATTCAAAAGTGCACATCATTCAATTCTTATTAGTTGATATTGAGGGACATTTTATTTCAGCTTTTATGAATACTTACTCAAGGTCTGGGTTCAAGGAAACAAAACTGAAGCCGTAAGGCATTACAGGTATGCAACTTCCCTTACTCAATGCCTTTCCTTAAGGGATTAAATTAGGACACTTGTTGAATTCCAATTCTATGAACCAGATGACCCCCTGAAGGAAAAATGCTGGTAATGGACTGACAATCCTTTCTCATATCGTGGTTGCTTATTTTTTCTTCTCCATATTCACATGCCCACCTCTAATACTTAAAACTTTGACAATTTTAGTCTTTTTTTTTTTTTTTTTTTTTTTTTTTGGGGGGGGGGGGGGGGGGGGGGGTAGTGCGATTGAATTAGGACATCCCTTTTGAGCCAAACAGACCCTTAATGTATATAATGTGAGAGTTTCAGACAAGTGATTGGACAAGTCTATATTAAGTTGTTTCATGTATCTATTAAATCTTGGAAACAGAAAAATGTGGGAGACTTCAATGAAAGGTCTTCAAAGCTTGGTTCGAAGGACTACTCCTTCATCTTTTACATATCTGTGTGAGAAGATGGGAAACTCTTTTACTGACAAGGTGATGTATTGCTGCCAAAGAGCTATTGCTGCTGCTGCTGCTGCTCTCTCTCTCTCTCTCTTTTATAGTTAAATTCATCTTCCATTATTTTCCAATTTCTTGCAGATGGATGAACTTGCATGCTTTGCTCCGGGCATGCTTGCCTTAGGGTCTTCTGGTTCTGGTCCTGATGATTCTCAGAAGTTCTTGTCGCTAGCAGAAGAGGTACTCTTCTAGTGCTGATTTAATTGCCATCCCTCTGCCATTAGAGTATGCCTGATTGAAGTGTTGAAAGTAGCAATGATAAGGTGTATATATACTTTATACTTGATGTCTTGTGAGCTCAGAGGTACTAATATCAAAGCACAAATCAACATTTTTCTTGAAAAAACTTATCATCCCCCCCCCCCCCCCCCCCCCTCCACAAAAAAAAAAAAAAAAACAAATTAGGACGTGCTTTTGAACTATAATTTGGTTGGAATAGTGGGCCCTATAGGAGCTTGCATGATTTAGATAAAGCTACTTGATTGGTAAATCGGTAACGTTGGTATCTTTTTACAGCTTGCTTGGACTTGCTATAACTTCTACCAGTCAACACCTACGAAATTGGCTGGAGAGAACTACTTTTTCAGTAACGGGCAGGTTGGATTTTCAAATCCTATTAATTACAAACATATTTGATTTCGTTCTCAGTTTTATAAGCAGCGGAATATTTTTAATAATTATCATTATTGTGTTATTGTATAAGGATATGAGCGTGGGCACATCATGGAACATACTGAGGCCCGAGACAGTTGAATCCTTATTTTATCTTTGGCGTATAACTGGAAACAAGACATACCAGGAATGGGGTTGGAACATATTTCAAGCATTTGAAAAGAACTCCCGCGTAGAGGCTGGATACGTTGGACTAAAAGACGTAAGCTCCATAACCCAACACATGTTTTTGCTTATTATTACATACGTTTATATGAGACCACGGTCACCCTTGATACAGCTATTTATTTCCTACTGTCGTGATCTTCCCAGGTTAACACCGGTGTCAAAGACAACATGATGCAAAGCTTCTTTCTCGCGGAGACGCTCAAGTATCTCTATCTTCTTTTCTCGCCACCCTCGGTGATTCCCCTGGACCAGTGGGTTTTCAACACAGAAGCCCACCCTCTAAAAATCGTTACCAGGCGTGATCATGCTGTGAGCTCCGGTAAGCATGGATCAGAGCACCAATCACGCAGTAGGAAAGAAGGGAGATTTGGTCATTAGGACATACACACATTCACACAACATCAAACTTGATCCTTCAAGTTTCACCAAAGCCATAGAGATCTAATCACTCGATGTAGGCGAAGATGTTTGAATTGATGATGTTCTGGCGTTTATGACAGTAGGGATTCGAGGAAACAGACTTTCGAAAATAATTGCTAATCCTCAGCTTTCCGGATTGGTGGTGATATCATTGATTGATTCTGCCATGAAACAGAGCTCAGGTTTATGTAACATGAGAGTATAGTGCCCTTATAGGTTTACACAACACAACATTCTTGGGATGTTACTACGTTTTTTTTGTAGGCAAATGTTCATCTTTTACACTGCTCTTAGTACTGTTTTTTCTCTTTTGAAATTTGAAAGAAACACAATGGTATTGCATCATGAAGACAGTATTGCTTTTTCACCTCATTCACACCCTTTACTTGTGCCTGGACTATATTGTCATCATTTCCGTCTTGCGAAATAAATAAATAAATAAATAAATAAATATATATATATATATATATATATATATATATATATATATGTGTGTGTGTGTGTGTGTGTGTGTGTGTGTGTGTGTGTGTGTGTGTGATCAGGTGTGAAAGACTCCCTAGGTGAAAAATGCGTACAAATCTCAACTATTAAATTCATCTAGATCTACTGACTTTTTAAAAAAGTTAATACTTGAAATTAACAAAAACTGTGCACTTGAAGGTCAAAATTCTGTACTCGAAAGCACAAAGATGTAAAATCGAAGCAATTTATGCGACCAAAAAGAAAAGTTATTTAAGTGTTATTGAAGCAATTGCCTATATAATAATAATTGAAAGTATAAAATGTCTTTTGACCAAAAATTTAGAAAGACATTTTTGTCAAATTAAGTATTTTTTCAATGGATCGGAATGAATATTTTCTTTTGATTTTATTTTCTTTTAACACCCAAATACGGGAAAATATAATATGAAAAATGAGATTTTAAAGTTATTTTTTAGGTAGGTTTGAAAAGGAGCATTAGGCTCCAAATTTGAGGTCACCATGCATTTGTATAAATCGGTTTAAAGTACCTACGAGATCCTTTTTTATTTATTCTTTATACTTTTATTTTGTTCAATTTAGTCCCTGTACTTTTAAAAATAGTGCAATTAAGGATAATAGTTAACAATGTTAATATTATCGTTAAGTTATGTTACGTGACGCTGATGATATTTATATTCCTACTCATATATTACTTTATAAATATTTAAAAAAATTATTTTTTACTACCAATATATTAAATTAGTACATTCAAAATAAATAATTACGACCATGTTCGTAATGAGATTTGGACAATTGTTCTTAGTTTTATCACTTTTTAAAGTAGATGAACTAAATTGAACAGTATAAATGTACAAGGACTAAATTGAACAAAACGCTATAGAACAAGAACTTCATTGGTACTTTGACCGTATAAATCTAGCTCGTGTTCACAACGGAACAAATCTTATATATACACATTACTGTGGACGGATCGACAAGGAGAATTCGAGGTAAGTGTAATTGGTATCCTTTGAAGTTTCCTCTTCCGTGTCGTAGGTTAGGGGTAACGTGATAAAGTCCTTGAATCGGAATCCAGACAAAGCAGTCTTCCAAGTGTATCCATGAAAGTCACGGTACGGTCCAATTAGTTAACTTACAGGAGCCATCCAGTTGTTTACCCACTCATTTCTCGAGTATGTATCATGATTTTTCCGATGAATTGTGTTCAGCTTCAGCTGTAAACCATATAGATATAGTGCATCCATATATATATAAATACAATGCAGGATGTAGAGCGGGAGATCAGAAGACATATATATCTATCGCAGATCGATCGGAATGGGGAAATCGTTGTTCCAAGTGATAGAGCAGAGGGAAGTGTTGTTACGAAACAAAGGAGCTTGCAGCGGGCGAAGCGGCGGGAAGGGCGGTTGCCCCTCCTGCGGCGGCGCTGTGATGGCGATGGACTTCGATACGCAGCTGGTAATCCTCAACCGTTTCTTTCTCCCTCACAAGATTAAACGCAGATTCTTCTGCCTCATATGCTCCGCTCGTCTTATCCCCGCCGATCGCCCTAGCCCTTGCCTTCGCCTTCGCCTCATATTTTGCTAACTAAGCATGCAGAAATCCTATTGTTGTACAATTTCTTATGGGATATTGGTTTGTCATGGGATGTAAACATGACAAGATCGAATTAAATTTTTTATTTCTAATATGTATTTTATTATCTCTAAAAATATAATGAATAAATAATGATACATTCATCACCAAATGGTCTTTTTGTTGGGTAGTGCATGTAGTGATATATATATAACTTAGTGCATTCCCATCTATAGGTTTTGAGTAGGTTTTTTTTAAAAAGTAAACTTAAGTGAAGGAGAAAAGGAGAAAAAAAAAATATTTCTACAAGACATTAGCCATGTTTGGTAAATAGTGGAACACGTCAAATTTTTTACGGATCCACCATCTTTGACGTTTTGATCATGGTTGACTATGGTCAAAACATCAAATCCATATTCATTGTTTGATTAACTAGCAGTTTGGAATAGCGATCTCCCATGCAAATCGCTAGAATCCTAAATGTGACTTTGAGCAGCATTTGGGATTGGCGTTTTGAGAAAAGAATTAAAATGCTCCTATTATGTTAAAAAAAAAAAAAAAAAAAAAAAAACCTGCGGGTGGAGGTATCATTGACATATGATCGGAATTTGAAACTAATTGGTAATCCTCCTCTTTGAACCAAAACAAATAGGCGTTTGTTGTTTACAATAATGTAAATTTAAATATAAAATCGAGTCTAAATAAATAATGGCACGTCAAAAGTAGATATTAGAAAGTGAATTTCGTAACAAAATATAACATTATTCATTTTAAAAGGTCAACCTAGTGAAACTCAATTACAACCTTACTCTTGTACAAGGAAAGCTACCCAACAAATGCATATATTGATAGAAAAACCACAAAGAGTTTCCTCTTCTTGCTTTTCCAATAAACATAATACAATTTTGGAATGTAAAACTATCTGTAGACTACACTTTGTTCTTCACATAAAGAGCCTTAACAGGAAGAAGGAAACAAAAAAAATGACTGCAGAAGAGCCATTTTAGGAATGCAATCTACACCCAACTTGCTTGTCTTCTACAAATAAGAACTTAACAAATCGCACGTGCCACGTCAGCGGGCGGCAGCAGCAGCAGCAACAACAATAACTCTAGAGCTCTCTAAGATGGGATTTCCAGTGACCCTAGCAGAAACATGAATATGCAAAATGGTTCTTCTTGGAGATGTAATGGGAGATGTAGTTGGTCGAAGAAGCAGAAGAACCGAGGATATCTGCTGGAACCAGTATCTGAGTCTTCCCATTAGCGATTCTCTTACCAGCCACATTTGCGTAGAACAGGCCAGAGATGGCTGGTACAAATACATCGCTCTCGGAGCAAATGTAGAAGTCGATAACCTTCTCCAATTCAGATGCGCCGGAGTTGAGGAACTTTGCTTTTTTATCAATGGGCATTATGGTTTCCTGCAGTTTTTAGAAAGCAGATGAGCAAAGATAATAGGTAGTTATAGTAGAGTTCATGAATACACATTTAAAGATCCTATAGAGACCAGATAAAAAGACCACAGAAATGAAGCAACATTGCTTCCATGGATTTCCTGATTCTGTTATTAACAAATCCCGTTTCCCCCAAACCACCAGTTCACCAAAAGAAGTGGTACTCTTGAGCTGACTTATTTGTGATCACTAAAAAAAAGAAAGACGGTAATAACATCTGACCTTGGTGTAAACTTTTGGAAAGAGTTCCTTCAATGCATCGAGGCTGGCATCCCATCTGCCTTGAGTCAAGTATATCGTCGTGTCCTTGCTATAACCAAGCTTTCTCAAGAAGAGGGCTATCTCCTGTGGATTGTAGCAGTTCTTTGATCCTGGAGAACCATTTCCCTGACAATTCTTTTTCTCCAAAACATCAACCCTTAGGTCCACTGCTACAAATTGTCCATTGGACTTCCGACTTAATGTCCTCAAGCGCTCAACCATTGAGTCGACTACTTCATGTACTTCTGGTTGAAGCTCCAAGGTTCCAAACATTGCCATACATGCTACTGAGTCCATGCTTGTCCTTTCTGAACTTTTCTTCATATTCACTGAAGGAAAGTAGGTTGCCAGCCTAATGTTCCCCTTTGCCCTGAAAATCGGCTCAATATTTTCTGCAATATGCTCTTCAGTAACCCTATTTGGAACCTTCACTACCGCAAGGTTTTTTGAAGAGAGCACAGTGGGCTCAGATGCTGTGACTTTGACCACTCCATCCAGGCTTTTAACAAACTGATCAACATCATAAATGTCTTTGAAGTCTCTGAAAATCACGATGGATGCAAGGTATCAAATTTTGTCAAGAAGTCCTCAAGTTGCAACATAATAGTCTCTACTCTTCTATAACTCCTAGTTAGGATGTAATATAATGTGTCGTCATATCATTAGCAATTGGTAAATGGAGTAATTCCAGCCTGATAAGAGCACTCAGTTGAACGAAAAAACTGTAAAATGCACCATCTTATTACCAACCTCTTATCACCAGGATTGCTTCCCCTAACATCTGGGATCACAAGAGTTGCACGTAGATATCTTGCCACTACTACTGCATCAGAAATCTGAAGAAAAAGACCACCACAGAAAAGAAGGTTAATTTGTATCTGTCATCCCCCCCAAGACTAAGCAGCAATTATTTTGACATTAACCAATAATCACTGGATTCCACTTGGATTTTTCCCAACTGGGCACAAGAATATCATTATAATCCAAAGATCAGGTAAACATGGATTTCATGGCAGAATAGGCTTTAGTTTGAAGTTCAGGTTGAGTATGGTTAGAGATAATGTGGAGACTATGATAGTGTATGATCAAGTCCCAATAAAAAAAATGATCACCACCTAAGGACTACAAGCTACAAAGAGATATCAATAGTCCATAATAGAACAAATATATTCAAGAAACTGAATGTATTGAGCTAATACAGTGACAGGAACAGCAGAAACAAATAAAATCCTTAAGGAAATTATCATTAATTTATTACTATAAAAAGCTACAAAAGACTAAATGGAACATGAAGATACCTGTGAGACATGATACTCGGGACCATTGGTCAGCGAGAAGGTCACATATCCATTTGATAAATCTCCATCAGCTATTGGCAGCAAAGGAACGAAAAACAGAAGCTTAGCAACACCACTCATGAACTATAGAACAAGATCACGAAAAACCTGAAAGTGATGGTAACTTACCCAGGGATGGTCTTTCCCAGCAAGGCTTCATGGATAAACCATCACCTTTCCAAAGACTATCTCCCCCAGGAAGTGAAAGCTCTGAAGCTTTGTTAGTATCATGAATAGTTGAAGTCAAGCG